AAACGAGCTATCAGGAAACCGAAAATTCCCGTCACTAGGCTGCGTCGATACAAGAACGGCTCTTAGTTCCGCGTAACGCCCTTTTCTGGTCACCAAAACATCACAAGGTCCTAAAAAAGACCCCAAACCACTTCTCAATATTCAAAACATTAGAGATAAAAGTGTTGAAGTACACAAGATTTAACGAGAATAACAAAACGAAGCAAGACGTTATGGTGGCCCACGTTGTGGGTTTGGGTTTTCGTAACGCACACGAGACGCGCCCCTTTGGGTATTAGTCGTCTTTCGGATGACCCTTGTGGGGAGCCCTGACTCGGGTTCAAGAGCCGCCGCGGTCGCGCAGCTCCGGGAGGCCGTGGCGCCGCGGCGGTGCCGTCCGCGTTGGCAAGTTGTCCACAGGCGCTGTGGATTTCATCCGCAAGTGCAATCTGTCGTCCTTCATCCATTCTCCGAACCCGCGCGGGCCGTCAGGACGGGCAGGAGCGCGCCCCTGCAGGTCGGGGCGCGGCGGCTCCGGACGTCCAGGCCGGCGGCCACCGGCTCAGACGCCTGCCCCGCTGTAGACCGCGCCCGCCAGCCGCTGCTCGGACGGCCGCCCCTGTAGACAAACGCGCACCGGCTCAGGACCCGCCCTGTAGACGCGCGCGCACGGCGTCAGACCCGCCCTGTAGACGCGGCGCCGCACCGGACCAGACCCGCTGTAGGACCGCCGGGCGCACTGGCGCTCGACGCCGCCGCCGGTGGACCCGCCGCGCACCGCTTCGCCCGCCCTGTAGAAGCGGCGCGACGCTGCTCGGACCCGCGGCCTGTAGACCCGCGGCGCGCGCAGCCGGCTCGGACGGCCGCCTGTGAGACCGGCGCCTGTGTTCTTGCAGCCCGCTCAGACGCCGCCGCTTTGTTATGACGAACGGCGCGGCGCACCGGGCTCAGACCCGCCCGTAGAGCGCGCGATCACGCAGCTCAGACCCGCCCTGTAGAGCCCGGCGCCACGCGGCTCAGACCCGCCCGTGTAGACGCCGCAGCGCGGTCACGCAGCTCAACCGCGCCCCTGTAGATTTCGCCGCGCACCGGCCTCAGACCCGCCCTGTAGACGCCGGGCGCGCACCGGCGCCTCGACCCGCCCTGTAGACGCGGCGCGCACCGGCTCAGACGCGCCCGGCCCTGCTGAGACGCGCGCGCACCCGGCTCAGCACCCGCCCGGAGACGCGCGCGCCACCGGCCAGACCCGCCCCTGGTAGACGCCGCGGCACTGGCTCGACTCCGCCTGTAGATTCGCCAACGCACCGGCTCGGACCCGCCCTGTGGACGCGCGCGCACCGGCTCAGACCCGCCCTGTAGACGCGCGCTCACCGGCTCAGACCCGCCCTGTAGACGCGCGCGCACCGGCTCAGACCCGCCCTGTAGACGCGCGCGCGCACCGGCTCAGACCCGCCCTGTGGACGCGCGCGCGCACCTGCTCAGACCCGCCCTGTAGACGCGCGCGCACCGGCTCAGACCCGCCCTGTAGACGCGCGCGCACCGGCTCAGACCCGCCCTGTAGACTCGCGCACCGGCTCGTCACCAGAGGCATGGCTCCGGGATGAGGGAGGAAACCGGAGACCTGAGAAACCCAGGCGGACAGGAGAACCTGCAGCCCCGCACAGGCAGGGGCCCGCGGGCCGTCGATTTTCATCTCATCGACGTTAGAACCAAACGACCTGGAAACATTTCACGAACTATTCTTTCAACACGTTCAACTTTATGAATCTCAGAAATATTTTAAATTCCTTTTAGACACGCATTACACAATTTAAATGCAGTCGAGCAGGCTGACAACAGGGGACTTCTCCTTTCTGGCCACTGACTGGCGGTAACCCCCGGGAGGACCCTGCCCGGTAGAAGGACGCAAACTGCAGCCACATCCCGTCTCAGCTCTCCGTGGACACAGGACAGAACGGCCAGCGCGCACGTTCTGCCTCCATCACCTAAACGCCTCCCCTCCAGCGAGTGCGCGTTTATAGCAGGTCTTGGAGAAGGATGACTATCAGTAAATGTGGAAGTTTTTCATTTTAAGAATGTATCCGGGCCGGGCGCGGTGGCTCACGCCTGTAATCCTAGCACTCTGGGAGGCCAAGGCGGGAGGATCACTCAAGGTCAGGATTTGGAAACCAGCGTGAGCAAGAGCGAGACCCTGTCTCTACTATAAATAGAAAGAAATTAATGGGCCTGCTGAA